CAGCCTCCTCGGAACCACCCTCCCTTTCCCCCTAGATCTCCTCTGTCCCTGTTCTCTAACAGGGCTTCCCAGGTGGATCCCAGGTTCATGTCATCACCTTGTCTCCAATCCTGTCTCATTTCTGCTGCCCCTGGATGGCCCTGGCCCTGGTTCATGCCCTCTCCTGTGTCTGGGCTCCTGACAGATGCTCTCACAAATCCCAAACCCCTGGTTCTGCTCACCCCAGCTGGTGAGGGCATTGCCTGTCCTGGAGTTACCCTTGGCTCCTGGCTCATCCTCCCTTGGGAGCAGCCCCACTGTCACTGTTCCCTGACAAACAGGACAAAAGTAAGTTCTGGATAACCATAAAGAAAATTTCCCAACTATGCTTTTTTTTCAAGGTCCCTTCCAGTCCTAATTTCCCAGAACCTGTGAGGGTTGCAACAGCCCCAACTGAATCTAAATTCACTGGTTATAAAGCTAAGGGATTTCAGGTTTTGTTATTTAGGGGATTTTTTTCCCTTCCTGAGTGACTCCAGGGTGTATTTGCATGGTTCTTCACAATTACAGCTGACACCTCCTCTTCAAAACTCTGTGGAATTGCTGCTCTGCAGCAAACCTGTAACTGATATTATAACAAAATTTCAGTTAGCTGACAGCTTTGGCTGACAGTGGTGGTCCCACTAACTCAGCAGCTCCTCTTCAGCTTTTCTCACAGAATACAAGTGGATCTGCAGACAATCTGCTCTTGATGCCAGTAAGTGCATCTTGAGACTTTTCTATCTGCCACTAAGGTATATTCTGGCCATTTTCAGAAAAAAAAAAAAAAAAAAAAAAAAAAAGTAGACTAGATAAGCCCATGTGGGATTCTTATAGTATCTGTAACATTCCACAATAACAGATTTTGCTACTTTGCAAAATACTACTGCAAGCTTTCCTGTACAATGCATTTTGTATGAGGCATGAATAAATTTCCTTGGTACTGAGATACCCAGCTGGGGTGTCTTAGGCCACAGCTTGTGTGACACAGCACCATGGCATCAACATGACGGCTGCCTCCGGACAAACATGTTAAATTAAAATAATCATGAGCACAAACTGGAAAATAAATGAATTAGCTTTGTATTTGCAATGGAAATCAATCAGGGCACACGAGAGCTTTCACTTTGATGTTCTCCCAGATTTGTATAATAGCTGTTTTGATGCTTGCCTGAGACATGCCTTCATATTTTTCCAGCCCTGTATCAGGAAGGTGAATACAAATGTAGGAGCCGGCTCTCTCTTTTCCTTCACTTAAGTCTTCCACTGTGTATCAACACAAGGAAGGCAACCCAAAAGATACATTACTTCAATTAAAGAAGCCACATACAGGCAATATGATGAAGTAGGAAATAAGCACTACGTGAACGGTCAGAGGAACTATTCTGGTTACAGCTGAGCTGAATCGATATTTTATTGCTACCACCCACACACAAACACCCCCTCACCTCCCCAGAGCTGCTTGTTTTCACCTTTAGCTGCTGCCTTGGCCAGGGATCCCTGCCATTGGGTTTGGGTTTCATTTACTTGTTCCACTTTGAACAGGCTGAGGTATGCAGACTCTAAATCACTTCTCAGAAATGACCCAACTGGAAAAGAAGAACACTCTTTATAAGAAAAGGGTTGTTTCAAGCCACCTCAATCTGTTGGAGAGAGATCAACCAGGCGAATACTTAAATGAATAGTACTGAGAGATGAAATCTCTGTTGGCCTTGAGGTGTGGAAGAAGGAAGAGGTCAGGGAGATAAAAGATTTCCCTGCATCTGCCACCTGCAGTGCAGCTCATATCCTCATTCTGTAAGGCAAAAAGCATTACCTAAAAGACAGAAATGAGAAGAAGATTCCTTGTATGGAACCATCATTAGCTGTCTTATTCTCAAATGACTGAAAGTACTGATTAAATCAGTCCATTAAAGAAGTCAGCTCTACTAGTGGCTCAGCTCTGTCAGTGTGGGGTATTTCTGCAACCAAGAAGTTGAATCCAAGTGCTGCTAAATTAAGATTTAAGTTGCTTTAGATTATGTTTATTATCAGGAATTTGGTATCTGCTGGTTTAGCCTCTCCTTTGTGAAGTGACATGCTTTTAAACTTGTCAAGAAAAATATTTGTCATTTAAAAAAAAATCTCTAAGAACTAACCCATCTGTAATTATTAGAGTTCTATGCTCTTCATCTTACTGCCTGCCTTCCCTATCTTCTTTGATGAAATTTTCTCTAGCATTCATAAATAATTTGCACTGTTGATGATTTTTCTTAAAGTATGACATCTATCAAAGACCTTAAAAGAATGGCAAAGATAAAATAGCATAGTATAGTTTCTCACCCAGAGGAGAAATAAAAAATTCCAATTCCTGAAAAAGCACCAGCTAGGATAGATTTTTTTATTATTATTACTACCTTCCTCTTTTGTCTGTCTTCCTTTTTGCTTTTGTTTGTTTGTTTTTGAGTTGTTGGGTTTTTTTTAACAGGACTAAGGTTTGATCATTCCTGTTAATAACCAAGGCAACACTTGAATCCTCCTGTGCATTTGGGGCTCTGGCTTTTGTAGAAATATAAAGTAAATCCTTCTCAGTAAAAATTTCTTCCTGGAAAAAGTTGTCAAACATTGGAACAGATTGCCCAAAGGTGGAGTCACCATCACTGGAGGCGTTCAAGAAATGACTGGATGTAGCAATCAGTGCCATGATCTAGTGTTCAGGCTGGAGATCTATCAAAGGCTGGACTAAATGATCTTGGAAGTCTTTTCCAACGTAAATGATTCTGTGATCCTGCCTGGAAGGACTTCCTGCTAAATTTTTTGCCACTAAACTGAAAGGAAAAAGGGGCTGATTTTCCTGTCAAAGAAGAAAACTCTCTCTTGTAGGTTATGACTTCGGCCTACAAAAAAATGGGCCTGTTTTCCTAAGGTGAATGCTTCCTTATCAGTGGTCTGAGACACACAAACCCACAGGGTCACTTTCCAGTGCATCACGTGAATACCCAAACACTGCCCACTAGCTTGGGCATGAATGGGGTTTTTTTCAGAACAAAGTCAAAATATTTCTAGCTTGACCTTTGAAGACAGTCTAGGTATTACGTGGTATTGCTTTTCTTCTCTACTGTTTATACTGAATCAGATCCGTATCATGATGACCCTGTGTCTGAAAGTGAAGGGCTGACCTGTGCTAGTCCCAGCAAGAGTTACACTGGCTGCCAAGTTTAATCACACAGGTCCAGGCACTGCACAGTGAAAAAGGAGAACAAAAGTTACAAGATCCATGCACTCCACAAGCTCACTGTAGTCTTAAGATTAGATATGGAAATTTAATCTAGTCATCAAAACAATATGCAACTTCTTGAGAACATCACTGGTTTGGCTGGTGAAAGAAATGGTCAAAAAATGGTCTTCTGCAAGGTGTTCATCTTAGATTTACACTGTGGTTTAACTTGTAAAAATTAAAAAAAAAAAAAAAGCACTGTCAGACTGAGGTTAGTCTCTGACAGTTGCTAACATCTCAGGGGAGAAAAGAATTAAAAATCTATTCAAGATTGGGCACACCTGCAAGATGTCTGTACTACTGTTAGTCAGGAATCAAAAGCTGAAATTAGGTAGAGAGCAGTATTTGCAGGTCTATGTCTGAAAAAGGACACAGACTTTGTATGCTAAGACTGTAAGTAAGGTTTTAGAACTAAAGGCCCTCTTCTGGAATTAAACAGGTCTAGCATTATGAAGGCAATATTTTTTTCTGACCAGAAAATGCTATATTGACAGTATAATTATCCTATGACAAGGCAGCCCCACTCCACTATATTAAGAAGGAGATATTACCCAGGAGGTGATGGGAGGGTTCAGTTGTTTCCAGTCCCTGATGTTACTTCCAATGGGAACCGTGGTTTTGTGAAGAAAGAGCTGGGGTGAGACCCGGGGGTTCAAAGGCCAGGGCTGCTCAGACACACGGGGCAGGTGGGAGACCCAGCTCCTGCCCGTCACTGCAGGACACACAGGGCAGGTGAGAGACCCAGCTCCTGCCCGTCACTGCAGGACACACAGGGCAGGTGAGAGACCCAGCTCCTGCCCGTCACTGCAGGACACACGGGGCAGGTGAGAGACCCAGCTCCTGCCCAGGCACGGCAGGACACACAGGGCCTGCCTGGGGCTGCGGCCATCCTGAACGCAGCACAGCTGCTCCCAGCACCTGTGGGGCCACACCTGGGCACAGGGGTAGCACATGACTGCTCCAGCCATAAGAAAAGGCTTCAGCTCTGTCTTTGTTGTCTTTTCCTCAGCCTTTCTTGCCCAGGTACTGCCATGGCTTGTGTCCAGGTGCTGAGCTGGGATGAAGCAGTGGCACGGGAGGGCTTTGCCATGGCAGCCCCGTGACAGGGCTCAAGGACACGGGTGAACCAGGGCTCTCTTGTGTTCAGGACGCTGTCACCCCAAACAAGCTGATCAGTGATCGTGTTCACCTTTACAGCACGCAAGGCTGGCTGTAAAACACCGAGCCTGACCTGACTTATGAAAGCCTTAAATCCGTAGTGGGCAAGTAGTTCCTTCACCTCTGGAAAAGGTGGCTTGCCTAACGGCATTAACTACAAATATAGCTGCCTCTCAGTAATCCCCTGGAAAACAACTCCAGTGGGTGAGGCAGTGTATGCTCCCTGGAAATTACCAACCAGGTGTTGGGTGGAACAGCAGCGACTCCCAAATTGTGCTGGCCCGACCAGCAGCGTGAGGGCACCACCGCACCTCACCATTGCCTCAGCTGGCTCAGAGCTCGCCCAAAACCGGTGTAACGCGGCCGCCCTGGATTTCCTCAGGGCGTGCTTTCCCAAACGCGGCCCGTCCCACGGCGGGCTGATGCTCCGCCACGAGGTGGCGACGCGGGCCGGCGCTGTGGGGCCGGGACCGCCCTTCTCCGGCCTCCCTTTTCCTGCCGGGAGTGCCCTTCTTTTGGGGGTGGTTGTGCCGTCCCTGCCCTCAGTACGCAGTCGCCCGCGGGACAGGGAGCGGGGCCCGGCTCGTTGCGAGCCCCGTGCGGAGCTCGGAGCAGGAGCGCGGTGTGGGCTCGGTAGCTGGCAGCAGTGTGCGTTTGGAAGAACAGAACTGCAGGGTAGTTCGGGTTGGGAAGGGCCTCTGAGATCACCCGCTCCAAACCCCCTGCCAGGGAAGGGTCACCTGGAGCGGACACAGGAATGTGTCCAGGTGGGTTTGGAATGTCTCCAGAGAGGGAGACTCTGCACCCTCTCTGGGCAGATGCTCCAGTGCTCTGCGCCCCTTCGTGCAAAGTTCTTCCTCATGTTGAGATGGATCTTGTGTTTTAGTTTATAGCCACTGCTCCTTGTCCTGTTGATGGGCACCGCTGAGAAAAGTCTGGCTCCAGCCTCTTGGCACCCTTTGGATATATTTGTGTGTATTGATGAGCTCCGCTCTCAGCCTTCTCCAGACTGAACAGGCCTAGCTCCTGCAGTCTCTCCTCATAAGAGAGGTGCTCCAGACCCATCATCAGCTTTAGTCAGATGGTTACTGACCTATAATTGTTTTTTTTTAAAACTATTTAGAGCACTGAAGATGTCAGATTTGTGAGGCAATAACACTCTTTTACTAAGGTGCCATTAGAATACTGCCTCAGGGAGATGCAAATATAGAGAGCTAGCTTGTGTAAATTCCTCATGGTAGTGTATTTAGCTGGATTAGTTACTTTAAACAAATCTCCTCAGGCTTAAATTTTAAATTAAGATAATGAGCAGTCCTGCTGAAGTTGGAGAAATAGAGAATTTGGTAAGGAAATTCACTGATTCAGGACTAGCCTGTATATTCAGCCTCTTTAAAATATTTTCTCTTTGGAACGTGGGTGGAAGACAGGTGGAAAACCTGGTTTACCTTCTTTGGGTTTTCCCAGTGTGCCTTTACCTATAGCATGACAGGTTAGCCTGCCAAAATGTGTGAGAAAAATAGTAAAGATGCTGCCATAAGATATGGTTCTGCCTCAGCATGACCTTAGATATTTGTTTGCTTTAGCAAAGTTCTGCTCAATACAAATGAAGGTCTGAAAGGGATAGAGGTATTAATAATTTATTGTAAATCTGTTATTGATGGCAAGAAAAGCAAGCTCTCTAAAAAGGAACGCAAGCTGTGGTGTTTGTCTCAAGGATTCTGTTACTCAAGCTGAGATAGCAACAAAGCACTTTGAAGGTTAATTATGGACCATATGATGGCAGCAACAGGTGAGATGTGGTAATCATGTCATCACCAGAGATGCTTTAGAGACTTACATTTCCAAAGGTCTATATTTAAAAGATGAAGGGAGATACTGCGAAAGCTAGGAAGTGGTGAGAGAGAAAGCATGAAGAAAAACTCACCTAGTGGGCAGTTAGAAGTGACTCTTGAGTCAGTGAAATACCATTCTGCTTGTCTAGCATGAGGCATTTCATTTTAGCATATAAAGGAATTCAGGTGTCAGAATGAGTTTAAAGAATAGAGATTAAACAGCGAAACTTCATTCACACTTTTGGTTGTTAAGGAGAATATATGCTGATTTACAGTGACTATTAAAAATTACCCTATTATTTTGATGGCTTATATATATGGTTCTAGCCCTTTACTGCTGACCAAAAATCTGAATTCTTAAGATAATTTTAAAGTCCGTTTCCTATGATGAAGGAAGTCTTGTCAGATGTTAGATGGAGCCTGACTAATTAAGAAACTGCTTTCAGGCTCTGCTAGAAGATCAGAGATTGTTCTTGATTTACATCTTAATAAGAAATCATTGATGGTGTAAAGAGTTCCTTTGGTTATTAAAATATGACCGGAATATTACAACCTGTTACAGGTAAGTGTATTTGATATGGAAGTGGCACAGAGAGGAAAAATCCATCACACTTTTCTATTTTTTAGTTGTTTCAAGTTCATACCATCTCTGCAAATCAAATTAAGGGACTCTAACATTCTTATTAAATTTACTGGTCAGGAGCTGAGGAACATTATTAAGTGCATGCATTTGCTGCTTGAAATACGGCAAGAAGCAAAGATGTGTAAGACACCAGTAAAGAGCAATTTATGTCTGGTGCTTTCAAGCTTACCTCTTTAGATACTATTTACATGTCATCACCAGTCCCTCTTCCTGTTCTTCTTGTCACCTGCAGAAGAGGAGACACAGCACAGGCAAAGGGAATTACATAATAAAAGGGATGAAATTCAAATGTAGGAAGAGGCAGAGTAATAATGAGATTTTATATAATGCTCTTTATCTTGAGTACTTCTTAAAGCTGAAGTGAACGGTAACTAAATGAAGTGTTGCTTCCTTCGCTAGCTCAGAAATCCCCAAACTGTAGCACTATTAGCTGTCAGTCAGACTGTGCCATAAACCCCTAATCTGTCTCTGAGGCCCTATGCATGTGTTGGGTACTGAGGGCAGTGTTACTAAGAGGTTACTCATACCCTTCTCTCACATGATGTAATTAAAACGGAACAAGTGACTACAAAACCTAAGAGCAGCCAGAGCGGAGTAATTGTGGATTGTCCCAAATCTCAAAGAATGTGTGAGTGGATGGTGTTAATAGCCTGATTATGTAGCAGCAAGATAAACATAGATTATGAGGCATATAATTTTACTCCTTAAGGGGCAACTAATTTGACAATGAGCACCCTAGAAAGATGGCTTTCTAGAGGAGCTGTGGGGCTGGCCAGCTTTTATTTCAGGGAGCATATAAGTCCTGTTGGATGCTCAAGTGTTCATGCCTGATCTGTAGTGCTCTGAGAGCATTTACAGGCACCCTGACTCAGCAGGATGTTTCTGATCTTACTCTTCTGCATCTGTAGCAAGATTTGTATTTGTATATTACAGGTTCACTCCTTAGAAATCTTGCATAGCAGACATTTGTGTTTCAGAGGAATGGCACTTGGAAAAATCAGCTCCAAAAACTTTGTTGACCTTCTGAGAGCTGTGTTAGGGCAGAGAACCAGCAGTAACTGTGTGCTCAGTTTTAGCTGCCCAAGAAAAGGTGCAATCATATGGGTACACAAGAGTCTGAGAAGACTATTCCTATAAAGTTTTATGTTTTTTTAAAATTTCCTTTCCAGTTATTGATGAAATCTGCTTTAGAAGGTTGTAATTGTTTATAACAATTTCTGTTCAGTAACACTGTCTCAATTCTCTCACTTTCAGAGATTCCTAAAACACAGTGGTGCCTAATACTATAGAAATATAACTATGTGATAATTTCAGAGGAGGTTCAGCTTTATTTGGGCTGAATGGCTGGAAAAATTTTAGATACTTCATGATTTGCACAAATGTTCCTGAGTTCTCCTAGAGGTTTTTTTAAAAAAAATCATGTGATAGCTGCACAATAAACTATTATAATGCCAGGAATCAATCAGAAATAATTTCCAGATAGAAGGAGACTGTATATATACAAATATCCTACAAGGTATTTCGTAACAACCTCTTCAGAATTGTAATTTGCAACTTGAAACGCTAAATAATCTGATTTTCTTAGAAATGTATTTCAAATGCCTCTTGATTTGGAGCAACTGATACCTCCTAATTTGAGGGACCTTTTCAAGTCTAGACTAATCCCCATTTCCTTTTTAAAACCAGAGAGAATGTGTAGGAGTTGCAACTGTGAAGATGCATTATCATCTCAAAAGCAAATGTTAAGAAATTATTTAGAAATAATAAACTGGAGTTATCAATGCTTGAACTAGCTTTAATTTAGCCATTGAACTAATGGAAGTGGCAGTGCAAGACTATGATAGGAATAATTGGCTCTCAACAGGTAACCTGGGTAAAACTCTGTTTCTTCCTGCCATGGATGCCTTTAATATAAACTTCTTGCACTTGACCAGCCAGTTTCACGTTAATTGGCTATCTCTACAGTGCTGCTTGCTCTAGCTAAGTTCTCTTTGTGTGAAAACTGCTCTAAGTTTCTGGCCTAAAATGGTTTCAGAATCCTCTTTTTTTTCCTTCTTCTTCATTCCAAAATAATAGTAATACATGCTCATTCATAAAGCAAGACATATTTTTCTTTTAGGAGCATGGCATTTAATTTCTTTAGTCCAAGCCTATCTTGTATAAAAGTTCAATTCCCATAGATTAAAACCCTGTCTTTTTTTCAGCTGAAATAAGACGTTCAAATGTTTCATCCTTGAGATTACCACCTCAAACCTCAACATTGAAGACATCTAAAACCAGCAGATTAATTCCTTACTGTACCAGCTGAAGCAGAATGAGTTAAGTGTGGTGCCAAGGTAAATAACCTATTTTAAGACATGTATTTTATGTCAAATGATCCCTAACATTGTTCTCAAGTAATAGTCAATTACTGCTATTGAGAGTCTTTACCATACTGCAGTGTGTAATGGTTTCTTTTCTGTATGCTTAGGAAATAGGTCCAAAGATAGACATTCACATGAAAAATGTCCAGATTTTTATTGCTGTGCCATCTGTGCTGAATAATTCTCTAGTTTCTGGTTTGCATTAATGGCATCATGAAAACTTACGACAAAGAGGAGGTAAATAATCACAGGAGATTCAAAATCATTTCTGCGATGGCTGAAATCTGTAAATTTGTCAGATGATATGTATTTAAACATTTGTCTCAAGGACAGTTAACATTTTTGAGCAGTGGTTTGAATGGAAGGGCAGGCCACAAATGTGGCTGAGAAGTGGCTGGACCAGTCTGAGCTGTACTGTTCAGATAATATGGTACCTGTCATATTCCCTCAGAGCCTGCTGATTTTAAATTCTTGAAATGTCATTCTCCTTTTCTTCTATGTGAGAGTGAGGAAGAAACTGTAGATATGCATATTGTGTGTGTCTAGAACAGCTTACTGGAAACCTTAAAGTTCATGAAATGAGCTTTTATTGAGAAATTTTGTTGGTATGAGATGAGATTTAGTCATCCACTTTTGCAGAAAAGGCTTCCAAAGTACAAATCCACTTCTTGGAAAAGTTATTTTCCTTGTCATGGTCATTTCTGTTAGGAGGATGCCATGATATATTTGTAGCTTTCTTTGAGTTCCAGAAAAAAGTTTACATATACAGAATTGCACTTACTTATGAAGATCCAACATATTATTGTATGGGTTTGGGAAGGGATGGCTAGATCTCAGAGTTTTGATGGCACCATCATTACTTTTAGTTTCAGCAAAGTGGCAATAAGGGGTAAGCCTTAATTATACCTATTAATTTCATTTCTCTTTCTCATTTGTTTCTACTTAAATAAGTGACAAGAGTTAAGTATAGTTTTAGAAATTCTTACGAAATTTTGAAATGTTTGCCATAGTCTCTGCGATGCTTTTTCTATAGGTGGAGTAGTGGAGAAATTACTTTTTAAAAAAGAATGCTTAAAAAGATCAGTGCTTTGTAACTGAGGGTGGGACAGAGCCCAGTGCAGGGAGAGAAGATTCTCCCACAGGAACTGCCTGATGTTGTTTAACAACGTGGAAAAGAATCTTGTTTGTGGGTCTTTTGCACTCAGAGTTTGGAATTTGGATTTCTACGTTGTTTAATGATAATGCTAATTACACAAAGAGGGTACGTAACAGGCAGACTCATAAGTTTCAAGGGGTTTTGATATTATTTTTTGCATAAATTCTGTGCTGTTGTGTTGCTGAAAAAGCTCAGAGTTTTTGGGCCATAAATTACTGTCTATACACTGCCTTAAAGAGTGTACAGTGAGCTACAGGTTGGGGGTAGAATGGCTGGAAAGCTGCCTGGCAGAAACGGATCTGGGGGTGCTGGTTATCAGTGGCTGAACATGAGACAGCTGTGCCCAGGTAGCCAAGAGGGCCCGATGGCACCTGGCCTGGATCAGCAGTGGTGTGGCAGCAGAAGCAGGGCAGTGACTGTGCCCCTGAGCTGCGCACTGCTGAAGCCACACCTCAGATCCTGTGTTCTTTCGGTTTTGGGCTCCTCACTACAAGAAGGACATTGAAGTGTTGTATATAGGTGCTTCTTGTAGGGAAGGTTTAGATCAGGTGTGAGGGAACGTTTCTTCACAGAAAGGGTTGTTAAGCATTGGAATAGGCTGCCCAGGAAAGTGTTGGAATCACCATCCCTGGAGGCATTTAAAATATGCATAGATGTGGGACTGAGGGACATGGCTTAATGGCGGCCTTGGCAATGCTGGGTTAATGGTTGGGCTCAAAAATCTTAAAGGTCTTTCCCAACCTTAACAATACTATGATTCTGTCTGGGGAAGAATTGACCCAGATGGAAGTCAAGCTAGAACCTGTAATACCAGTTTTTATCCTGAAGTCAGGTATTTACTTCAGACAGTTCTAGACACCTGGTTTCAGTGCTGAAAACTAGATTGCTAATCTCTCACATTTGCTAATAAAGATCTCAGTGTTCTGGACTAAAAAGATTGGACCTCCTGCAGGAGTCCCTCTCTTATCACTTTGTAGCAGGAAGTAGCTGACTACCATTTCTTGACCACAAGCGAGGTACAGCCATCTTAAAAACCTTGAAATAACTCCACAATCAAAAAAACCCCAAGGAGAATGCATTTATAAAAAGCATCAAAAGTACTGCATTTGATGTATTTTATTCTATGTTAAGCTGTATCATTAAACAAAAAGATTACAAAGGTAAACACTGTCTCAATTTTAACACCATAGTTACAGAGAAACCTATCTACTGATTTTCTCTGCCCTCCCCCTTTCTAATTTTACAAATGCCTTCATTTTGGAAGGGGGAGGGGACAGAGGCAATAATGAGAAAAGAGAGATATTATCTGCGATGTCTGACTACTGGGGAATAAATATATCCTATTGATTTCTCCATATGCTATATTTCAGCAAGGTGACTGCCTTTTTCCTCGTGTGTTGATTAAAAAGTTTTTGTAGAGGCAGTGAAGGCCCACCCTTGCTGTCACCCTTGTCTCACAGGGTTTATGCAGAGGGAAGGATCAGACGTGGCTGATCTCACATCTTGTCCCGCTCTGAGTTGTAACATCATCACAATTTCAGAGCACACAATGTGTGGGACCAATGAGTGTCATTGCCTGACTTTTCCTGTGAGAAACCTGGAAATATCAGTGTGTCCAGTTCTGTTCTTCCTTGTTTGGGCTTTCTCTGCAGTCTTCTGTCTCAACCTTGAATGTTGCCGTAGCGTTTCAGAAAACTGCTTCATGTGAAAATGGCCTGGCCTCTCCTAATTACAATAGCTCCCTGTTCTGCTGCCAAGAAAATAGCATCATCAGCTACTTGGATTATACAAAATATTACAGAATAAAGACAACAACAGAAATTCACTGTTATTTTTCCTTCCTTATATCCTGCCTTGTGACAGGAATCCCTCCCCCTGCTAAGTTCATTGGTTAACAATAAACAAAGATGCTTTTAACAGCTGCCTCTGTCCTCTGTAGAGAGTAATACACTAGAACCATGATAGTATTTAAAACTGGCTTACCATCATATTTTGTTTCTTTTTAGGAAACTTCATTTGATTTATAACATCTCCTAAACAGAGATGATACCCTTTTTATTGTACATCTATGTACAATAGAGCATCTACAACTCAAATATTAAAGAATAGCTTAAATTTTTTTTAAATAGTTTTATTAACAGCAGAGATAATTGTTCACTGAAGAGGTGCATTGTCACCACAAAACTCCAGAAGTGACCAGAAGTTGTAGTTTAACTTGGGGATTTGGGCTTGCTTCTGCCTTTCGTTCCTATTAAGAGAAGGTATTGTTTCTCAGTGTTTTTAGAAATTATGTAAATGTATTTGGCTGAATATCAAATACTGATTTATTAGAAACCTTTTTATAAAAAACCTTAGAGAATTTTCTACTTTGGTCCATGGGAAATGCTTTGAGGAAAGGATAAGGACTTCACTTTCCCTAGCTATAGGTCACTAATTTTGGTCAACAAAGTTATGATTTTAATTTCCAAGGATCCCTTTAGTACTCCACAAAGAGGAAATAGATCTCACAGGGAATTCCTGATCAGAAGTCTGTTTCAGGTATTCTGTGCCACCCTTCAGGGGAGGCTTGTGGAGGGAGGAGAGAGAGAATTGTCTCAGACACCCTTTGCAGTATGCAAGGGTTGGACGTGCCTTGGTGGTCCCCGTTTTTCAGTGCTGGAGGCTGGCTGGGGGCTCTCCTGACAGGCTGCCATGCACAGACGGAGAGGGAGGTGCCAGTTTCTGCCTGCTGTTGTGCTCTGTCTCTTCCAGAGCTGCTGCAGAAAGCATGGTGAGTTGGAACATCTTGTGAGCCCAATGCCTGAATTGGGGGCCACCAGTTCACAGCCACCTTTTCTTTGGTGTATCAGTCCATCCCTTCTCTTCTCTTACAGTTTCTCTGTTAACACCTGTCTTTTGTTTTTCAAAAATATTGTACACGAGGTATCTGCCATTTTGGGATGAGATCTTCTTGTTCATGCTTACAGCAAGCATATTACATGACATTAAGTTCTGACTAATGCTTTTTTCCAATTGTGTTTGTCAGCTGTGGGTGATAGCATCTGCATTCAGAAAGCACCGACTCTGCCTTTGCACGTGAAGAGTGGTCTCAGGAACATGTTCCAGCACTGCAGCCTCTCTGCCCTGCCACGTGCTGTCCCCACAGCTGCCTCAGGCTGCCCATGTGGAGCCTGGCCACTTGGATCTATGAGAATGGAGCTGCTCAGCTGTTTGAAGTCATGGGTGCGTATTCATCCATATACAGAATTCAGATATGCAAAACATCACAGTTTTGGATCTACCCAAAACTGCACTTCAGGGGAGTCACCAAGAGACTTCGAGATGCACTGACTGATTTTGACAATTCTCTAGGTGGGCACTCACCTCCTGCATCTTTGTGATGAGAATTATGCAATTTGATGTCCTTTTGCACTGCACTGCTCCATCTCCTTAGTTTTTATTAAACTTCTATTCAAACAGGATGCTTTAAGTATCTGGATCTTGAAATTCATTGTCTAATTCTTTAGTAGTCATCATTCTCACCCGATAAAATTGCTCAGCTCCTTCACAGCAATTGAGACAAATAAAACTTAGTTGACTCTGAAACTTTGGTGGGTGCAGAAGTCAGAAGGATACTGTCTCTTCTGATTGTAATGGCTGTGTTGTTCCTTTTGCTGTCAGCAGTGTTTATTTTTATTAATAGATACTACTTTGTTTTGTTCTCATTTAGCCTGGTAGACTAATGTTTAAAGTAGCCGAGAATCAGATTTTACCTCAAGAACATTTCATTTATTGAAGGCTGTTTGAAATTCATGCTTGCACTGCACTGCTCCATCTCCTTAGTTTTTATTAAACTTCTATTCAAACAGGATGCTTTAAGTATCTGGATCTTGAAATTCATTGTCTAATTCTTTAGTAGTCATCATTCTCACCCGATAAAATTGCTCAGCTCCTTCACAGCAATTGAGACAAATAAAACTTAGTTGACTCTGAAACTTTGGTGGGTGCAGAAGTCAGAAGGATACTGTCTCTTCTGATTGTAATGGCTGTGTTGTTCCTTTTGCTGTCAGCAGTGTTTATTTTTATTAATAGATACTACTTTGTTTTGTTCTCATTTAGCCTGGTAGACTAATGTTTAAAGTAGCCGAGAATCAGATTTTACCTCAAGAACATTTCATTTATTGAAGGCTGTTTGAAATTACTGGTTCAATTCATGTATTGCAACTTAGCCAATAACCAATAACCTCATCTTCTTTCTGTGCAATTCCAGTTATGTATAACAAAGAGAGGGCCATATGTATCCAGGGGAAACTGAATCACTTAAGCAGAAAATAAAGTCTGTCAAAACACTACATAAATGCTGTACATGCATCTTTTTAAATTGAGTTGGGTAAGTTGAGAGATTTCCAGTGTATTCTGAATGTCTAATCCCTGAACCAAGTCAAAAAATTGTCTGCCACTCCTCAAGCTAAAATAAAAGTCACAAGTTAAACAATTAGTCCTTTAAAAGAACAGTGAATATTTGTAACTTGGTGATGGTTTTAAAGCTCCTTGATTCAAGTCATCTCATGAATTTAGTTTATTGATTAAGAAATGCTGCATCAGGAGCTTCACTGCCACCCTCCCCACAGAGACAGAACCTGATGTGCTAAAGTAAAGGTAGGCATGAAAAGGGTTTGAAGTCTACAGGGCTAGGCAGAGATGTGCCTGTATCCAAGAGTAGCTCTTGTGGTACATTTGGATAAGCACGTGCAAAAGACCTCCAATATTTCTGTCTTGTAATGAGTGCTTTAAAAACCTCCTCTCATAAAGAAAATACTTGAAGGGAGGTGAAGAAGCTTCTTAGGGATTCATTTCAGTGGGTCACTGCTCTGCAGTGGCTCTCTAAGCTGCTATGGATTTTAACATTTACTTGAGCACAGCTGGGTTTTCTTTTTTCCCTGGCGTTTTTCATTCAGATATAAATAGTTACTAGAGCAATATTACCAAGAATATCTTTAAAGAAATAACTGATGAAGCCATAAAAAAAAAATCCTGAACTAAAGCTTTCCAGAATGACTGCTATCATTTTCATGCCTCTTTTCTGAGTGCTCATGAGTCTGTCTAGGAACTGTAAATTTAGGGAAAGAAATAGAAAGGTGTGTGATGAGTACAGCAGATGGGATTTGTGTATCTTTTTAGAGATTCTTTTTCTTAATGCAGCATTATTTCTGTCAAAATTTGAAATGCTTTGAAGAATATGCTAAGTTGATGTAAGTCTGTTCAATGGAGAACTGATAAAGCATTAAAAACTCCAGCAAAGAATATTTTGACCATTTTTACAAAAATTTAAATGTGAAATGTGTTATTTAAAAGAATAAAAGAAATCTAAATTCTAGGAAATTTTTTGCAACAACAGAACAACAAAATATATTTGGTTTAAATGGGAAAAAATTGAAATTGGGGAAAAAATTTCTGTGAAACAGAAAATCCAGTTCCTGGCCAGGTCTGTTTAGTGACAATTTCCTAAATCTGCAAATACTTTTGATTCATAGAATCATGAGTCATGATTCTGTAAATACTTTTGATTGATGGTTTTAAAGGGAGAGAATATTCTTAAATGTCAACTCACAAATGCAAGTAGATTAAGATCTCCTGAGCCACCTGCTTGTTTTAGTGGGGACGGCTTGATCATTGCGTGGAAGCCCTGTTCCACATGTTTCTCAGAATGGTGCCTCAGCACTGAAGCTTAGTTGTGCTTTCTCTGAAAATTGGGTGAAGAGATTTTCCCAAGCTGTAAATATCAATAGCCTCAGACTAATTATGCTTTTGCAGAGCATAGGGTTCTCAATTACCTGAAGTGTAGGCTGCTGTTGTACAGGGGAAGGGGGAATGTTTGAACTGATGGGGTTTCTCTTCCCAAGTTACTTATGATGGAGCCTGGCGTTCCTGGGGATGGCTGGACACCTGCCCATGGGTAGTGGGGAATGAATTCCTTGTTTCACTCTGCTTGTGCATATGGTTTTTGCTTTCCCCATTAAACTTTTATCTCAACCCACAAGTGTTCTCACTTCTACCCTTCTGATTCTCTCCCCCATGCCACTGAGGGGGAGTGAGTGGTGGCTGTGCAGTGCTTAGGTGCTGGCTAGGGTTAAATTTCTGTATATTTTAAATTGGGTATTACCTTTGAAGCCTAAAGAACATGTCAGATAAGCTGTTGCCATATCTCACATGTCACCATGGAGTGCTGCAAGACAGGTCTCACTGGGAGCTGGCCAGCGTTGGCACTGGAAAGCTGGGAAGCTGTTATTATAAAGACCAACAACATAACTGGAAGAAGTGTTGGTGGAGGCAGAAGCTTTTAGTGTGAAGGAAGCAGAGCCCATTCATTAGCTCTTCTTGCTATGTAGAAATTCAAACATGAAATAAAAAGGACTAGTTGTACTGTGCAACTCATCTCTGTGTGATGAGAATTGCACCATGCTTTTACTATAATACCCACCAAATGTAATAATCATCTATTGGCCAGATTATCTTTTTCCTCTGGGGAGTTTGACCTATTTCCTGTTGAAAAAGATTTTTCTTGTGTCACATCCATGCATTTCCCACCACTCTGTAAGCTGAAGAAGAAATATAGTCTGAAAAATTAATTAGCTAGAGTTCTCCTATGTAGGAGATCATGTAGGAGTGTGTAGATCTTAGAGTAGTATTTGTCACCAAATGAACATGTCTGTGCTAGTTCAAAATGCCCTTCAAGCTATGTCTGAATTATTTGTCTGTTCAAATGAGTTACTCCTTCTTGTGGGTGGACTCAAGAATCTTGTCCTTCATCTTAATTTGTATACAGCAGATTCATGGCAGAGTAACTTAGTCACATGAAGGAATGCAGATAACACCTCCCTTGTACACCATGCAGAGCTGTTGTAAGCCAAGGAGTTGCAGAGGTAACAGACTAGTAAAACCAGGCCTGGGATGCCTACCAAAACAATTGGGTTACAAACTCTGCATAGTCAAGTTAAAAATCTAATTTAGCTATTTGTATTGGTTCCTAATCCTACATGTAATGTATACAAGTTCACATTAAAGCTAGAATTAATTACATCTTTCAACTCATGCATCTAAATGAACAATGCTTTGCTTAATGTAGCTTTGTTTTTATAAATATCCTCCCATTATGCAGCAACTGAATATTCCTGTTTTACTGTGGCTTTTGTGTGTGGGAGAGACACTCTGGAAACTAAATATATCCAGTATTAATTAAACTATGCATCTCGGAAGGACAGCAGGATAATTCTTCTTTATAGTTTTATAATGAGATTTGTCTGAACATGAAAAAAGCTCAGCCAATGCAACATTTTCAGTTCAATTTTAGATCTATCTTTACATCAGTGAGAGTGAGCAACAATTGGCTCCTGTATTTTATGACCTGGTACTTAGAAAAAAAGACCATTTTTGAAACTGAGTTGAGCAAATACTCAGAAAACAGGAAGAAACAATGCACAGGGAAAGGGGAAATGGAGAATAAAACATGGAAGAAATAGTAGACATTTTTGGCACCTAAAGAAATGGGAAGAAGAGAAATGCCCATGAGATATGAATCTGAACATGAAAGTTGCTGAATCCTAAGAATGATTTGCAGTATGTTAGATCATAATTTTCTTCTCTGTTATGTTTCTTGCCCTGTTACTGCCCCAGATATCCCACATTTGATGGCCTTTGTGCTTACCTCCCTTCCTCGTGCCCCATATGAGCCAGCAAACTTACCCTGGCTCCCCTTGAAGCCCACAAAGCTGGCATATCCCATGTTTTGTGCCACGAGCTGTTTGCAGAGGTTTCCATCATCCAGGATACAGCTGGTGGCTCTGATTCAGAAATGCCGAACACAAGGGACAGATTTTGCTCTCAGCTGTCCACAGTAACCATGGAAAGGTTTCACTTCTACCTTGGATTCAACAGAATCCAAACCTTGAGGTATCCTGAACTGCATGATGTGAACTCAATGAACTAGAATTTTCCCACTGAATTACTCTGCTTACAAATGGGAGAAGTCCCCAGTTTACTTCACTTGTCACACAGGTACCCTGTTATCCATAATTTGTGTTTATTCCTTGAACAAAGCAGCTTAGCCACTCTTGCAGCCCAAGGACAAGGAGGGGACAGCCTTGTAAATTGTGCTGAGGTTGTTGAGAGGCAGAACCTCTGCAGCTGTTTTGTCTGTCCTGTCCCTTCCACAGCTGGCCTGCAGGGGTGGAGCACCTGCACATGCCTCAGCACAGTGTCTTCTTTCTTGGCCCAAAACAGCTTTTGTCAGCACTTCAAAGAAAATTGCTGGACTTTGCATCTGAGTCATGTACACACAGCCCCAGCAGCTGCTTTTCTGCAGGGATGGTTTTCCCTGGCAAACATGTGATAGCAAATTGTGAAGGGCCTAGAAACAGAAAGAGGAAATAAATAATGAATTTTCAGAGACTTCTGGACTTTTTTCCGTATTTCAGAAGTCAGTTCTTAGCCCCATATAACAGACAACAGACTTCTATTACAAACATGCTGAACCAAATGAAAAAAATATGTGGCAAGCAAATACCAAAGATTACAAATATATATTTTGCAAAACTGCCTGTAATTATGCAAAGTAAATTTTATGCAAAAAGTGGCGCCACCTAAATGGCAACATAACATATGCACACATTCGAGAAAGACAGTCTTTTCAAACAAATTATTGCCACAGTCGTGCAATAGCTTGAGTCTTGAATTACAAGTTAATCTATCCTAGTAAAATGAATTCTTTAATGTGGGGATT